AATTGAGCGCTCTCTTCCCTCTATCAATGCAAGACACACCCCCTTACTGCTGACTGGCTACAAGTGTGTTTTGGGACTCGGTTCGACGCTTCAAAAATCACTTAGTGCACCTTTAATCAAAAAACGTAAAAAAACTAATTTTCACACAGGTCTACACAGTAAAGGCTACTACAGAAATAACCTACAGCCAACATTTAATGAAGTAATAAATGTAAAAATAAAACAATGCACAGTCTTCATTGTATACATTAAATATAGATGATTCAGACCTGCCATATTGTGCATTGCACACTAGAATTAGTTAACCCTGGGTCATTCTAAACCCTGAAAAAACAGTTCTCTTTTTTAAGTTATATTTTGGGGGGGGGGTATGCTTCTTTTAATTGGATAGGCCAGTAGAGAAATGACAGGAAAAGTATCGGGCAGAGGGAGGGGAGCGGGATTAGTAAAGGATCTCGAGACAGGATTCGAATTTGGGTCGCCGCAAGTACAGTTGCACAATACATTGGCACACCAACCACGAAGCTATCGGCACCAACAGTCCTAGGTTATCTTGATTCATGTTTCACACTGCTCGTAATTTACCCCGGGGTTAACAATTAATCTTAGGTATTCATAAGTCGATGTTTCATGACATGTACATTCCTAAACCCTGGGTTAACAATCTTATTTGTATATTTGTGGTGTCATTGATTGGATAAACACAGCATGTGACCTGTCTGCATCCTCATATTATCGCATATTGCATAAAGGTATAAATTAAACAGTCTTCTTCTCTCCGTCTGATGCATTTTCTGTCACCTTTTGACATTTTCCCCCTCAAACACTGCAACGACTGTTTATACAATATATAGTGTTTTCCTGACTGTCCAGTGCATTGGCTGTCTGTTGCAAAGCATCTAGTATTAACACTCGAACACCGCTTTGTTACACACTGTACAATTTTGGCACCTCAATGTGGGGTTGTCAGTGCATAACCCTGGGTAAAATATGGTGCTAACCCCACTAACTAAATCACAAGTGTGAAAGTTCCTTTACCCAAGGTTAAAACTAAAAGCAGGCTTTAGAATGAACTACGTCATTAGTAGGCAGTAACTGGCTAGCAAGACAAACGCCTCCTACGATCTCCGTCAGACAGGAATGACATTTGATGTATTGCATAATTTTATTGCTGCTGTATTTTTAATTTATTTCCTGAATGCATTCGTTTTTACTGAAAAAAGTGAAATGGCATTTCGCAACTCTTGCATCCGTTTTTCCTTTCCAATTTTAAAGGGATTAAAGGGCCTGACTGCATCACACCACTGCATTTTATGTGTGATATTGCTAAAAAGAAACGGCTTATAGCAGGTTTTTGATAACATCTGGTTGCAGCTTCATTTTTAACATCATATATAACAATGTATGGAGCAATGTATATAAGAAAGTAAAAGATGCTGACAATACTTGTTTGTGTGTTTGTTTTTGCTTTTAAGGTATTCAATTGTGATGAAGTAGCTGATACACAGATCCCAGTTGAGCCTTTCAATAATGAGAACGAGAGCAAAATTGGCATAGTTACCTACGATTCTGATCAGCACTTAAAGGTTCAAATCCCACCCATTTATGATGTCTTTATTGTTCTGTTGAGTGTCATAGCGATTAGAAAACTTGTTATTGTCACACATTTTTCTTAAATTTACAGTTAGCTTAAATATACAAATCAGCCTATTGCCTTTTTTTTTTTACAGTTGAAAGCGAGAAATAAATTGTTTTCCTCCAAAGTCATACGGATTGAAGTCCCTGGACGTGACATTGTAAATTTGATCAATCCACTTAATATGAGCTTCAAACTTAATTACACAAACGACACATCTGTAAGTGTAACTTGGAATACAATTTTTTTTTTAATATTCGCAAATTGCCCAAAAATGTCCTGCTATTTATTTATTTCTGTTTTGTAGTTATATCTAAAGAACTACAACCTGTCCTGTCAATTCTATGATGAAAACGGTACAGTAATGGTTAATGGTTTCTTATATGAGGCACATACTGTATGAGGCGCATATGAACTTTGTTAACTGTTACATAGGAGACAGAACCTGGAAAGCGGATGGCTGTAACACCACTCCGATCAGTGATAATGTTGTGGAGTGTTACTGTAACCATATGACCCCTTTTGCTGTGCTTCTGGTGAGTTCTGAGATATCCACCCATGCAATTAATTCAGTTTAACTAACACTTTAAAATAATCAGCTAATACGGTTTAAAGTTCACTTCCCCTCTCATTTGTCCACCTTATTAACTCTGAATAGATCAACTTGAATGACTCAACAATATCCAAAAAGCAATGGGAAATCTTGTCGTACATCAGCTATGTAGGCTGCGGTCTCTCTACGTTCTTTTCTGCCACCACTGTCTTGTCATTCATTTTCAACAGGTGCCATTTCTTCTGTTTTCATAAGAATGCGTACAGAATATGTGCTTCGATTCACATAATGTGTGTTTTTGCAGTAATGCAAGGGCAGAAGTGTCCAGCGGCATTCACGTGTCTCTGAGCGGCGCTCTGTTTCTCCTCAACATGAGCTTCATGCTCAGCGAGTGGGCAGCTACACTGACTGTGAAAGAAGTGTGCGTGTTTATTGCTGTGACGATACACTACAGCCTGCTGTGTTCTTTCACCTGGATGGCTATTGAAGCCTTGCACCTCTACCTTCTTCTCATCAGAGTCTTCAACATTTACATCAGACATTACATGGTCAAGCTGTCTCTGATCGGATGGGGTGAGCATGAAAACATTTTTTTTTAAGTAGCACAAAAACAAAAAACCATAGCAGCCAAAATAGACACGCAGGATGCATTCAAGGGATGCTTAATGATGAAATTTGAATCTCAAAATGAAATTTAAAGGAATTGTTCACCCAAAAGAAAAAAGTGCTCAAAACTTACCCTCAGGCCATCCAAGATGTGGATGAGTTTTGTTCTTCATCAGATCAGATTTGGAGAAATTTAACATTACAATCCTCAGCAGTGAATGGTTGCCGCCAGAATGAGAGTCCAAACAAAAATGTTTTGTCATAATTTATTCACATTCATGTTTTTGCAAACCTTTCTTTACTTTGCATAACACAAGATAAGATATTTAGAAAAATGTCTCACAGTCATCCATTCTCTAAACCACTGGTCAAGTGAAGTCAAGGCAAATTTATTTGTCTAGCGTTTTTCACAATTCACATTGTTTCAAAGTATGTATCATATGTATGTGCATGCTTTTTTTTTTACAACGAAGATCAGTAAGGGTCCAGTGTTGCCCACTGAATGGACAAAACAGTAAAAACATTCTTCAAAATATCTTTACATGTCCATACAGGTTTGGAACAACATAAATGATGAAAGGATAATGTTTAAAAAATCAAATGTGATCAAAATTGAGCTTTGAAATGTGGTGTTTCGTCCTGTGATCTTGTCCTCTTGACAGGAGTCCCTGCAGTTATTGTTGGAGGCTTGCTGTCAGTTAATACCATGTATGGTATAACTGAGATGACATTTTATGATACGAATACAACAAATCAAATGTAAGTCTTTACATTATAACTTTGCATTACATACAGACAAATGTAGTTAAATTATGTTGCACACTTTGCCTGTCAAATGTATGTATGAAGTACAGGCTGCTCAACCTTTTTTCATACAATACAGTTGCTGGATCAGAGACCCTCACGTCCTGTATGGCGTGAACATTTTCTACTTCTCCATCGTATTCCTGTTCAACTTAGCAATTCTAATCACAGTGTCCAGACAGATCCTTAGGCTACGACATGTGAGCAACAGGCATGACAAGATGCAAGTTTGGAAGGACGCTGGCACAGTTTTGGGCCTCATGTGTCTGGTGGGTACAACATGGGGCTTGGCCTTCTTCAGCTATGGATATATCAACTACCCGATACTCTACCTATTCTGCATCTTAAACACAATGCAAGGTAGGTTTACTCAGGGTACAAGAGAGAAAATGTGGGTTAATGACATACTAGAGTGTTCGTGACAAAACCCATGCCAGTTTAGAAATGCACAGTACTCTTAATATTCATATTGGTTTCAAATGGTTTTTCAATCCAAGTTTAAAATGAACGACGCTGAAATGTCATGTGGTGTAACCATGAGGTACAATGTAATAACCTATTTGCGTCACATCTTAACTAGACGTGAATTTAACATTTTTCAATGTAAAATGCTTTTTATTTTTATAAATTTCATTAATTATAAATTCATGACTATGATAAGTCTTTGGAGAGTCTATAAAAGTAATATCCAGTTTTATTTTTTCCACATGTTGGTTGTACCACATGATCTTGTTTGTCAAATCACATGACTTTTCAAATATTAATAAGACGCTTTGCTAAAAATCAGTTAATGTTATTTTTTCCAGAGTTTCATTCTTTTAATGAGACTTTTTTATCATTATTATCGTATCACCCTGACATTTTTTACAACACACACAAAAAATACCAAATTAATTGTAATACTTGTCATAAAACAGGTGTGTTCAAGTCATGATCGTCATGTCATTGACTCTGGAAGATAAGGTGATTTCACATGGTGGTTTGTTCTGGTCAGGTGAACAAGAGCAGGGAAAAAATGAGGAGGAAATATTAGTCACATTACAATGATACGCCATTATGTGAAACTCTAGCATTTTTTTCTGCTACCGAAAGACAGTTAGGGTCCAAACAAGGGTTACTATGAAGTCACAGCACTAGTCTAGGAGGATGTGAAATACAACAGGTTGGCTTCTTTGTTTCCCTGTTAAGTAGAAGTAGAAGAATACAGTGACGTAAAGACTAAAGAAAAAGGGAATGGAAACTTTTTGAAAACATTTTTTGAAAAAATGATGGACTGAAGCATCATGTTTGTTTGTTTACAGGGTTTTACATCTTTGTGTGGATGTGTGGTACAGCGAGGAAAAACAGAGCGCAAACACCTCATTCCAAGTCTAAATCCACTCTGGACAGCTCCAAATAAAGTCCTCTCATTCATTTCTCTTACTAAACCCTCTGACATGATTTTACAAGAAGACATCTTCCAGCTGACCCACAGAAATGCGCCTGGGTTCATGAAAATGACACTTAAACAACAGGCAAACAAAAAAATGGTACATTTCATCATGAGCGGTTCGGTTTAATTTTTTTTTTTGCAAGAGTACTTCCTTTGGTAACAGCGCGTTGAAGAAAAAAAACACCGTTTCCTCTTTGTAGTTGTAGACAAACTAAAACCTTATCTATGATCTAACAAATCTAATCTCAAACCTGCTTATCATACCTAACAAACACATTAAAAGGTGTGATTTGTAAATAAATATGGTAAATGCACAGTTGTTCTGTTATTAGTGTTTTTGAATGTTATAATAATTTAATAAATCTATCAACCTGAAATGTATGTTTGAGCCAATTACAATAATGCCATTTATATATGTACGTTTAAAATTGTATTGCATTTTTTAATTTGATTAGTTATTCATTTAGAAATGTCTGGGTTCTTTTCACCGTTACGTCACATATGTTTCGTGTTGGTAAGTACGCATACGATTCTGTCCCCCATGCCATGGTTATTTATGAAGTGATGTTAAAAACTAGGAGTAGGTGTGGGGGAGGGGTTAGGATTAGGGGTGGGGTTGGGATTAGGCAATCAGGTAGCGACTTCAACGAGGGGGTGCATAATCTGGCAGGGGTGCAGAATTCGGCACAACACCGGCTCCACCCGTTAGTGCGGGGCTAACTTTCCACTCGTCTAATTGGACCAATCTTCATCTTATTAAATTAAATAACTTTTCTAAATGAGTTTTAATTTAACTTTATACACTTCCTTTTTCTCTCTTTACAAATATTAACAAAATAGAATACGGTTTTGCACAATCATGAATGTTGCATTTTTTTTTCCAGCAACAGGGTTTCTAGTAATCTGGGTTACACCAGCCTATGTCAGACAGGAAACCACAGCAATCACATGAGATCTGCTTTGCAGAGTGCTTGACAGAGGGTACACACACTAGAGAAACAGAGCATTCAAAGAGAGAAATGAGAGGCTTTTGCTGTGTAGTTCTTTGGATATTTCCAGTTTTTTCTTCCACAATAGCGACTAAAGAACGTGAGTATGAATATGCTGTATATTTTTACATTTCAGCTCTGAAAAATTACTATGATCATGTAATTTTAACTCGAAAAGAGTGACTGTTGATTATAATCATGTTTACTCTTGTGGCATAGTACAATTGAAATTAATATTTTTTTTATAAATCTGTAGTGATAAAGATTTGGATTGAATAATTGATTGCACTGCTATTTGCCTCCCATGATATGATATGTTCGCAGGTGAGCGTTGTCATGAGGTTCCAGTAAAATGTCAGACGAAAACGAATATTCCATTGTGAGTTTTGTTATCTTGTTGATCTTGTAACAACCCAGCTACCAAAATAAGTTCTAAGAGCATTTTGCAAACTGCCAACTGGCTTGGTGAACATTAAGGGAATGTTTTATTTATCATTTTGCAAACATTATGGGAAAGTGACTTTTGAATGCTAATACTTTTGACGCATTAGAAACGTATAAATAACGTTTTGAGAAGAATATTAGAGACCAAATAATTTTGAAAAGAACGTTCTATTAACATTATTGGGAGAGGCTTTGAGAGAACCTTGCCAGAATATTAGCCAAAGTTCTGAGAACGTTGGCTAGGAAGTATAAAGAAAATTTTTTTAAATTTTTAATATGTAATAAATGTATAAAATGGACAGGTTGGTTTGCTGCCAGGTAATATTTTAGAGGTATAAAATGAATCGAATGTATTTTTTAACAGGTGTATTGAAGACGGAATGAGAAATTGCTCATCTACAGCCCCTAGGATAAAAGACCAAAAATATTTCTCTGCACTAATTTCCTCAGAGGTAAGACTAAATGACAGAAGAACAAAATAGTAGATATTTACTGAACCCATATACAGACAAAATCAGTGTTTGAATACTATTATGATCTATACATACACTGTAAAAAAAATTACGTAAAATTTACGGTAAAAAAACGGCAGCTGTGGTTGCCGGAATTTTACCGTAAAAAATAAGGTAGCAACATTTTAGGTTTTACGGTTTTAACTTAAATTTACAGTTAAATACCGTAATTTCATTAACTGATATAATGTTAATATACCAACCTATTGAAGTACTGAAATCTGTTTTGTACCTTTGTAATACACTGATAACCACCAAATGCAGGTGGTGATGAGAAAGTCACATGATGAACCAAAGACCATCACAAGCAGCTTTTAAATAATAACATATATAGAAGGTGCACAGTGTCATTCACACAAACACCAAACACCATCATGGTAACACACATGAAACTGAAATAATAATGCAATAAACATTAATTTAACAACATTAGGTGTAACACGCAACCCTAATATACAAAACTGATAAGAAAAAACTAAGAAGAAACATAGTTATTTCAACTAAAAAACATCAAATTTGAAATGTAACGCAGGGAATTCTGAGAATGTCAATTTACGGTTATTCACTGTAAATTATACAGTCTTTTTCACTTCCAAAAATGGTATACTTCCGTAAAATTAATGTCCAATACATGTAATGTCCAATACAGTTTTTCACCGTATATAGTAGGGGAATTTACCGTTAACCATTTAACAGGTTTTTACTGTAGCATTTTTACAGTATTTTACCGTTAAATTCACTGTCATTTTTTACAGTGTACTAGAAATGTTATTCTATAAAAGTTATTCTATAAAAGTTATTCTATATATTCTATTAAATTATTGCCATCTTATGATAAATCACTTGTTGTATTCCTCAATTGTAAGTCGCTTTGGATGAAAGCGTCAGCCAAATGAATAAATGTAAATGTAAAAGGAATATTAGGTTTAAGACAGTAGTTACTGTCTGATTGACTAACTTAAAAAAAAGGCCACACGCTGAATTGTGTCTTCATTTTTTTTTCAGGAAACAGTCGATACAGATAGAGGATATGTAATCCACATCTCAGACGAAGCCTTACAGAAGAGCAGTAATGAATGGGGGACTGCAGATTTGATTGTGTCTCTTCTCAATGAGACTTTCTTCAAGGTCAGCAGCAGTTTAAACAAGGTATGCAGAATTACTGTATTAGACTTGTTTGTGTCTAATTAAATGTGATTTTAAATACTTTGGGCAGCATCTGCATTTCATAGCCCAGTGGTTTCTTCTTTGAATCATTTGTCATTGTGGTGTTGACACAGAAGCGGAATAACCCAAGTACGCCAGGCACAATATTGCATGGGCAAACTGTATTGGGAGTTTGGCTTGGTATGAATGAAGTTCAGAACCTTTCTCAGCCTGTTCAGCTCAGATTCATAAACACCAATCAGGTGAGAAGATTTCACATTACACTATAATGCGATTGTAAAAACACACTATGGCCCTTGTGGATTTTGCTGACCACTTGCAAATGTTCACTTCTGTAAACGTGTGCTTTTATTATTGCAGAGTGAAAATGGAACCTGTGTCTACTGGCACCTTGAAAAAAATGGCAAAGGTCAATATGATTTTCACACCATCAAAACTAAACCGCCATAAATAAACTAAAACAAATGTTCAATCCTCTATAATCTAGGTCATTCTCAGATGGTGGCATTTTAAACGTGTGCTTTTATTATTGCAGAGTGAAAATGGAACCTGTGTCTACTGGCACCTTGAAAAAAATGGCAAAGGTCAATATGATTTTCACACCATCAAAACTAAACCGCCATAAATAAACTAAAACAAATGTTCAATCCTCTATAATCTAGGTCATTCTCAGATGGTGGCATTTGTGTGTGTGTGTGTGTGTGTGTGTGTGTGTGTGTGTGTGTGTGTGTGTGCGGGCATGTGTGTGCATTTGTGTTGATTTTCCACTTGAAATTGTTACCGCTATACTCTTCTTAAGAAATAATTTTTCGCATGTCAGGCCCAAAGTACCAGGATGGATTCAGACTCTCCAGAGACATAGTCATCACAGTTCTTAAAGGGGTCATGAGATGCAGTTTCAGATTTTTATAAAATGTTTCTCAAGGTTAGTTTACGTTTTTTTCATCAAAAACTGGTCCAATATTTATAAAAATGATCATTTTCGGATGAAAAAACGTTGATTACCACAATCTGTTTCAGTATGGAAATTGCTTCTGCATGCTTAATTTTTCTGTATATAGTTTTAAAAGTACTATTCTCACTCGCTGTATTACAAAAGACACTGCATGTACACAGGTGTACTCATTTTATTAGCAGTGATGCGCTTGGTGTTTTAATAGCGTTCAATGCTGGTTCTGCATTTATTTCAATTTATTGTCAGCTTACAAAACTAATCTGCATTGCCTCCGAGGACAAAATGCTTGCCACTGCCATATCTTTTAATAAAAGATATTCTGAAAAAACGGCAGCATATGGAGAACTTTCAGTCGCTCAGGCATGTCATTATAAACTTCAGCCATGCATTTCAAATGCTTGGAACGTTTTTGGAGGTGCAGTTTCTTTACATCCACTGACAAAATAGAGTCTTTGATGAGTTTGATGGTCTTAGTAACATCTTTATTCAGCATCAGTATCACTCTTGTGATTGATGGACAGACATGCGTTGCTCAGAATGCATGTTAAAGGCCGTGCCAAGGAAAATGATCGTGTTACAATTCTCATATGTGTAAATATAAAGAACATTTTGATTTTCCATTTCATGACCCCTTTAAAACATTACGCTAATCTACAAAATGTGGTCACAACAAGTAGTACAAGTAGTAATTTATGGTTACAAGCCTATAAGCCTAACTGCTCTATTATTTTAACCCTGTCACAGTCACCTTACAGTAAATTAAATCAGACATTATAATACTAACAATTACTAAAGTATAATAAGTTAAAACCAAGCTATTACTTGTTTGGCGTCAACCCTGTTACATTTGATTAAACACAACTTTTGAGGGTTTTGACTGGAAAAGAAGGAAAGGCTCATTTTCAGCCACTAAATAGTTCAA